TAAAAATTATATAAAAAATAATTTTTAAAACATCACCCCTCTTTTTTTTTGTTTGGAGCATGGCTTGTATCATTAATAAACTTAGTTGTTGTAAAAGGCTATGATGACATTGAGTGGGTGGGAAGCCGTACAAAACAAATAATGAAATGTAACAGAAAATTGCCCTACAAAACATAAATTATATAAATTGAATAATTTTATTTATAATAAAAAAATAAATAATTAAAATTTTATATAAAATTTATGCATAAATTGAATTAACTCATCAAATAAACAAAATTTTCAAACTATATATTTAGGTTTAGTTATGCCATATGTCAAAACTTGGTTCTGCAATGGATGAAATAATTCCATAATCACATAAAAGTAGAAGATTATTCTGATGCTATTGTTCTTCTTTTTGCTGGTGCTTAATTATGAGGGTGGTTTAGTCCACGATGATTGGGTATGATATATAAATGTATAATTATTAAATATTAATTATTAAATATAAATAATTTTTTTATTAAAAATATTTTATAATTTAATACATATATTATTTTTTTATATACCATATGAAGTTATATATTAAAAAATAAATTATATAACTGAAAAATAATAAAAAAAAGTACTTCTCAAGCTCGTACTACGAAGTACTATGATTGACATATACATTGTATATAAGTATTTCTTTCTCTTGGTAACAACATTATTAATTATGAAGCTGAGATTCTTCAATATTCTATGTACTACTCTAAAGGAATGAATTCTTCATTCTTGTTTTTTAACCACTAATTGGTACTACTTTTTTTTTTTTTTAATGGTAATGGTTTTTTTTTTTTTTTTTTTGATAATGGTAATGGATAAGTAGTTAGTTTGAATTACTTGTTAGTATTTGAAGATTCGATCCCAAACTGGGTGAACATTCTACCCCTTAAATGAGGCGCATGGTCATTGAGCCGCTATATAATGGAGTTCACGGTGGTAAAACTCAAAACTCCGATCACTTTTACCCAAATACTTAAAGTTTGAGGTCGAACCATTAAGTCTAAAAGTTCGGTTCACTAACTGATACTACTTAATTATTCTTTTCAAGATCATGTCAAACTTCTCCTATTATTATTATTACTATTATTATTATTATTTTAATTGAAGATTTTATTTTATGTAATTCCTTTAGAAGAAACTGACTTTTTTAAATAAAATTGGAAAAGGAGAGAGAAGTTGGTTGGTGAGTTTGTGAAGGAATGGAGATTGGAGGAGTTTGAAGTTGAAGGAAGTCTGGGTGGGGTTTCTTGACGTAAAAGGGACTATTAGTTTCACATCTAATTCACCATATCATATATGGTCAATGAAGATGGTGTGAGCCTGATGTGGTGGAAGGATGCCATCTTTTTCTCTTTTCCGCTCCATTGCACCTTTCATCATAACCAACTTCAATTCAATTCAAAGGAATGTTTCGATTCGTTAAAAATTTAATATTAAAGATCTCAAATTTTATGATAAAAGAAAACACCCTAAAAATTTCAAGTTCAATTTGTAAGGCAAGTGGAGTCTTGAAATAAGGAAAAAGACGAACTATACCTTGTTATTTAGCTCATCATATGATATACCAAAGAAAAAAAAAAACTCATAACAAACTTCCTAACTAAACCACATAAATAAATAAATAAGCTATAAATATAGTGCCTAATTTCTTTCACCTGGGCCTGAAAGCCTTTTAACTACCATTTTGATGAGGCCGCCAGATTAGTTATTGGGTTGGGATCCAAAACCCCGTGACACAGCAAAGTTTTTCCTAGCATGGATGAGCCTGCCCATCTTCAAAGTGTTTAACGAAATGAAATGGTCTTTCTTAGACAGGAATTAGGGGATGAGGGGAAAGTGTTATGAGACAGCAGCAAACTTTCTATAATTGATTAGAATAGGATTCTAGATTGGGATGCAATGCAAACATTTCAACAACAAAAACCATACTGCTTCCACAAATCACACCACTATGTTCTGTGAACAAACTGCAATCTGTAGAAACAGAATGAATTACCTCACTCTGCTCTGCTCACAGATTACCATACTGCCATGGGTTGAATTCTATTGATGTGCAATCAACCTCATCCACACTGTCTGAGCTATCCACAGCAGCCCGATGTTCGGTGTATTTACCATTGTACTGGTAGATTTCCAAGTCACCCCATGGAGTTGTTGTAACTTCTTCAGTTAAATCAAACCATCTCGGTGTAAATTGATGACCTTTGGCCTCTCGGTTCTTTTTTTCAGCTCTTTGCCTCTCCTCCAAACTGGATGAATGGGAAAAATAAAAGGATGAGTAATATTCTCAAATAAAGGACGTTAATGGGGAATGGGAGGAGCGGGGACCTGCTCTTGTTGGCACCAGCTTTAGATAGATCACCCTTCTCAAGTGCGCATCTATCAGGGCGCAGCCGGGAATCTGATGCTAACAAATTCTTCGGAGCAGTGTCAAAGCTGTTTATTTTGTGTGCAAAATGTGTGTACTGAAATTTATCATTTTGTGGAGCATCAGCAACATGCCAAACCTGCACAAACAAAATAATACAATATAATAAAGCCATTAATAAGAACAAATTCATGAGATACAAGCTAGTTCATGAATAGAAGTATCAGCTAAGCTTGAAACTGTAACAACATTAATAATTATGAAGACCTAAGCAATCAAAATTCAAAAATATTTACTTTCTCGTAAGGATACATTTATAGTCTAGCATTTAGGGGGGGGGGAGAAGACTAGCAAGCTAAAAACCAAGATGCTTTAATGTCAGTAGGCTGAGGATAACAAATGAAACTAACACAGATACAAGTTTTAAGATGGTTAAAAAAGAATTACACAAAGCTGAAATGTTAAATTTCATATAAAAGCCCAAATGTTCAAAAACTGACCTCTTTTAGTTCAGTTCCAGGAAGAGGTTCTCCTTCCATGTCACAGGGCTGATAGCTCATTGACTCATTCCACTTCCCTGTCATTAATAATTTAGGTTCCTCAGCAGCATTATAAACATACCCATCCACTTCATAACGACCGGCTCTGCAGGAAAAGAAAAAGAAAAGAAAAAAAGAAAGAAAAAACCTGTAAGTGTCAATTATTCACCACTGGCAGATTGCAAACTGATCACAAGTATAAACCAACACAATTGATGTCATAAAAAAATCCATAATTGAAGAAAAAAGATTATACCCGAACCAGCCACATGGTTGAAAATATAGCACAACTTTGTCCCCTGTAGTTAAATTTGTCATGATCATTTCCCCTGGTGAATCAACCCAAGTTCGTCCAAAAATAAGATTGTTTACTTTGGTGGGAGGTGGCACCAAATCCAAAACCACACCATCTCTTTTAAGAGTCACACGTGTTCTAAAAGCAATAAAAACTACAAAATCATTACACATTATTTACGAGCTATAAATTTTCTGTCATTAATACCAAAAAAGTCCTTAGCAATAGCATTTAAGGTAGAAGACTACAAGCAAATTGAACTAGGAAGCAAAGATGGTTCATGGAAAAAGCAACATGGAATTTTACCTTCCAACAGGATAAACATCAAGAGAGTTTCCCAAAAATTTAGTCTTTAACTTTGATGTGACATCATAAGTAAAATGCTCATTTTCAGCATGCCCAGCACTCATTGGAGGATGATGACTTACCTGAAACAACAATATAAAATGAAACCTAGTCACTGCAATAACCAACATCATAATACCAATGAAACTATGAAAGAGCATATATTTCATAAACTAGCTAGAAGTTACAACATAAAGATTGCTAGTTTTAGTATTATAAAAAAAAAAGACAGCAGCCTCCAAGGAAATCAAACCCACCTGCTCAGAAATAAATGTAATCCCACCATGGTTAACCATTTCGTATGTCTCCCCAAGAATAGGATTAAAAGGCTTCCATGTGCGTTGGTAGGCATAGTAAACAGATATAGCCCATGATGCTGTGCAGGGTAATATATTCCATTAGTAATAAAGCAAAACTAACCAAAAATCACAAGCATGCAGAAGTTTGTGGTGAACCATACTCACAAGCATACGCCAACTGCAGATAGGGATCCTCACATTCATCTGCTTGATCCAACAAGTAGGAGTATTCCATCAACTGTGGCAGGCATTGAACAAAGTTTTCAAATAGCTAAACAATGCCACATAAAAAAGGACATAAACAATAGGCTGAAAGTAACCCAAACCTCTGCCATTTTCTGCAGCATAGTCATCGGCTCAACTATAAGAACAGGAAGTGTCACCATTGATGTAACATCTGAGCCTATATATCTGTGCATCATCTTCCAGTAACTTTCACGTTCCTGATAACACACCAAAAAAAAACGAAAAGAAAAGAAAAGAAAACCAAACAAAAATAATTAAAATGGGTAAAATTACAAGGTAACTGAGTGATAAATCTCCATGGAACAAAGAATAGAAATAGGCAACACGGTGATAGCCGTTCTGCTTTCACATTTTACAGTTTAAATGCAACTGTTGTCGTCCATATTACCTTATCAGGAGTAGTTCAACCTATATAAAACTTTTTCAGCTTTACACAGGAAAAACAAAAATAAAAGAATAGAACAGCATAGATGTAACAGACCCATATAATAGAAATCTAGTTAATAGAAAAGGAAAGTTGCATGCATACCTCCGGCTTCCATCTTCCTCTCTGAGCTTCCTCCTCTGCATCTTCTTTACCTCCCTCTGGATTTATGACTTCTACACCTTCATCGCCAAGGAACCTGAAAGCCATAGTAAGAAGATAAGTACAATACACTCTTCACAACAAAAAAGGAAACTTACTTTGTCTTTGACAGACCTTATTCTTAGAATTTCTGTATAAATGGATTCCAATCAGGCGTTATTCTTAGGATATTTTTGTTTAGCATCTAAATAAGCATGTGAGAGGAAGATGTTTAGACCCCATGTTACAAAGGACAGCTCGAATGAAAAAAATAAAATAAAATTGGGTTCTTTCTGTGTTTTAGCCAAAACAAATTGGGTTTTAGGTAGAAAACCATCTCAAGTAGTGTAGCAAAATAATTTTGATTCCAAACTTCAAGCATTTCAAGAAACAAAATTGTCTGAACTTAAGCTCATCACCACTTCAGATAACATGCACATTATTTTTTGAAAACTTCTCTTCAGTTGACAATTGATCACTGCAACTTTCTAAAGCTATGTTCAGAGCCAACCAGCCTCAGCCATATTACAAACCAAAATCACAAAGATTAAACACAGAAAATCAATTAAACATCCCACTGAAGCTCAATTAAAGCTTACTTGAGCATGGAAATACAATCAATGAATCAAATAAATCACAATAAGATTCCTAAATTAAACCATCAAATCTCATTACAATCCAGAAATACACCAAAATGGTAACAAAATTAGTGCAAAAACAGAATAATCGCGAGATTGGAATGCAAAATACCCATTGACAGATCTATGCATGGCGTTGCCAAACATGGACAAGCCGGAGGTCATCGCCGCGAAAAATCCCTTACTCTCTTCCTTCTTGGAACTACCCATCTTCCTTCCTTGTATCCTAACTGGAAAAACTCAATCAAATTTCCTCCACTGTAACTCGATTCGGATTTGGGGATGAAATTCGTCGGAATCGGAGAGTGAAGACTAAAGAGGTTTGATCTGTGATTTCTAGAAACAGATGGAATTCGATGGCGGTTTTTTTTTTTTTTTTTTAATTTTACAGTAGAGTTTTTTTTCCAAAAATAAAAAAATAAAAAGGCTTTTACTATTGGCTGCTCTCTTAAAATATCTTTTGTAATAGCTTTTAACCCATTCGACCAAGTGAGGTGGTAAGAATTTTGAACTTCTTCATCATCGTAACTTCACCAAAAAATAGTTTAATGGCCGCGAGTCTCATTTAAAGGGGTGAAATGTTCATCCGGTCTGAGAACCAGTTACCAATAACTAATTTCTATTAACTTCTTAACTATTACCCTTGTTAAAAAAAAAAAAAAAAATTAGTACACATTAAATATATTAAAATATTTAATTATAATTATTAATTTTTTTTGAACATTTAGTAATAGGGTCGGTTCAAACAGTTACCTTAACATAGGGAGATGTAAAGCTTACAATAGTGGTTAAAGCCACTTAATCCACAGGGTTTGGTTCTAATTATAATTATTATGTGAAATATAATATAAATTTTAATTTTATTAAATTTATTATATGATTATGGGTAAATATTTTGATATTTTTAATATTAAAATGTTTTAATTTTTTTTAAATGT